AAAAAAAAAAAAAAAAAAACTTCAAGAAAAGAATATTCTAAGAACTTCTGAATAATAATGAAAGATCACGTTTGATGTAGCCTCAGCCATTTTTAGTACACAAATCACTGCTATGAGCTTGACGTGGAAATCCAAGTTTAAAGTTTCAAACAGTGAAGGAGTCTCAGGTCTTGAAATCCAAATATTAAACATTTTATGCTATCTTCAGAGATGGGATAAACTATTACCACATTTTCTTTCTGTTTCCTTTTTAACATGAGGTATCTTCCCTTGGTTTAAGAAAATAATTTGTTCCTAAAAACTCTTACCTCAGTAAAAAAAGTTGCTTTCAATAATTTATTTGCAAAAATTTATACTTAAAAATCTCCAAGTAATCACCTATTAAAAAGAAAATCTCAGAAATTATTTCCACAAATATATCTATAAAACAGGATTTGAAAGCAGAGCTTTAAAAAAAAGCTTAGAGGGGATACTGTAGAATAGCAAGATACAGTAAAATAACAAAAGGAGATGAAGCATCAGTGGCTGTAACTCAAGAAAGATGTGCAGGAGAAAATAAAACCATCACAGGAAAGAAAAAAAAATTAGATAAAAGAGAACAGACATTGACGAAAATATACTGAAAGAGACGGTGGGCAAAGCAAACCAGTAAACCAGAAATTCAGAAGAACCTCCAACATAAACATAATCAGTGTTCTCAAAGGAAAAGACTATGGCTCAAAATGTTAACATCCAATCCATGAGATACTTGTATCTAAGTCCAATGGCCCAGAACAACATCTTTGAACATGGAAGACAACAGGGAACATAGTTATGATCTCTGCCAGAGAACATGCTTCATCTGAGCAGAAACTGAGGCACAAGGACCAGAAACGAGAGTGGAATCCATTTAATGATAGAACTAAGACGAAAGCAAATGAAGAAATTGATTGCAGAACAGAATGTGATGCTGTGAAGTCTGACAATACATTAACACACACATACTGCTTTATTCGTGATGAAATTATTAAAGCAAGTATCTTTAGCTAGGCAAAAATTCACAAACCTTATCAAAGTATCTCATTAAGCTCTTGAACTGCCCTCAGACCTAACAAATGACACACCAACAATGGGTTAACCCCTTTAGCGTTTCCACCAAGTCATAAAGTAAAATGATTCTTTGATGCCTTATGTCCCAAGTCTGGGTTTTTTTGCTTGCTTGTTTGGTCTTTTGTTTGGCTTATAAAATGAAAGTGAACTTGAATTGTCTACCATTTTCACTACTGATCACTACTACTGTGTTCCACTTTGCATTAAGCAAAAATGTTTTTTCTACTTTATAATGATCTATTGTACTACAGATCTTTAGGAGTAAATACTGTTCACCAAAATAAAGATGAAATCTGATTGTGACATCCATTACTCTTCTCATCACAAAGATGATACTATGGTTGCTTTTATACCATCCACTAAGTTAATATTGTTCTATACCACTTTGCATGCTTCAAGCTTTAAATTTTTTGTTCTTATTCACTAGCTTGCTCAACAGCTTGCTTGTGAAAGATGAACCAAATAAAGTTCATATATGATGTCAACATGAATGACAATGGATGCAAGTCCTTGTTTCCAATGACCTGCTTCATAACTTCCACTGGAGGTAGTTGTTTCTGGCCAGATTTCATTATATTGCTTTTATCTCCAATAGCTGATCCTGCCAGATGCCCCCAATATCCATTCTTTCCTTCCGCAGTTTCGGAACCTCGATTAATGGGGCACATGACTTCTAGGCACAAAGACTACATTTTCCAGCCCCTACCTGCAGCGGCACATAGCCTTGGGTCTAAGTTTTGGTCACTGGGAGGTGAGTAGAAATATTTATCCTTAAAGAGAGGGGCCTATCTTCTGCTCCCTTTCCTCCTAACTAGCTGGATTTCTTTTTATATTTTTTATTTGTTTTTATTTTATTTTTGTTGAAAATACACATAACAAAACATACACCCATTCAATATTTTTTTTTTTACTTTTCATTGTCATTTGGGTGAAATTTTATAAAGCAGATTCATTTTACATTCAACAGCTCATGCACATTTTGTTTTGTGACACTGATTACAAACCCCACAATGTAATACGTCTCCTCTCACTTCCTCCCTGTGGTCACCCTTTTCCCGTGTCCTTTCCACCTATGCATTCCTGTCTCCCTAGCTTTCTCTCTGTGAAAATGCTACCTTTCCTATGGTTAAGTGTTCTAAGGAGTGCATTTCCCTGGTGTAGCTGTTCCACTTGTAGGCTAGTCTATCATTTGGCTGAAAGTTAGCCACAGGAGTGAGTCTAATTCCAGACCCAAAGGGTGGCAAGGGAAAGGGAAAATTGCTTGCTAGTTAAGAGGAGGTGTTGATTTGGGTGAAGAGAAAGGCAACATAATAAAAGCATACGACCAGCACAATATCACTAAGGAGAAGGAAGACATGGGAAGCACACAAGAGGTACAGAAAACAAAGGTAAATACTATTACATACACAATACTGAATTATCAATAATAGCAAACATTAATCTATGGGTGGATTCATAGACAGACAGGCAAGAAGATCAAGGATGGGTAGGCAAATGGGAATATACCACCATAAATAGGCTAGGCAGATGATAATCCTACATGTGTATTTGTATGTGCTATAAAAATGTTCACATGCGGAGCAAATAGCTGGACCTGTGGGGTGGGACCACAGTTGCAGGGGACATCAAGCTCAATTGGCATGACATACTACACAAAAACACTGTTCCATATCCTACTTTGGCGAGTAGCGACTGGGATCTTAAAAGCTTGCAAGCAGTCATCTAGATGCAACACTGGGTCTCTCCTTGTCTAGAACAAAGAAGAATGAACCACCAGAGGTGCAGGGAAACAACTAGTCCTAGCGACTGGTACACCACGCAATTTTCAGCCTATAGAAGTATGAGACCAGAACCAGACAGTGCCCGGCTCCCACTGTCACCCACTCAGAGGGGCTCTGTGTAGGAGATCCTGGAGAGAGAGGGAGAACAATGTGGAACAGAACGCAAAATCATTATTAAAAAACCAAAAACAGGGGACCAGATTTGCTGGTCTGATAAGAGCCTGGTGGAACCACTGAGATTTTGGCCCCTAGCTACCCTTCAGGTCTGGAATTGAACTCAATCCTATGGCTTCCAGCTAAACAAAAGATGGGCGTATGAGCTGAACATTTACATTAGGTAGGTACACTCCTTGGAGAGACCAATCATGGAAGAAAGAAAGGCTGTATATGCACAGGGAGACAGCTCAGGAGGCAGGAGTGCATGGAGGGATGGACATAGGGAAGAGGTAACTATGGGGAGGAAGTGGGAGGGGAGCTCTACCATTTCCTCATTGTTCACATGTGCTGGCACTATTAATATCACCTTCAGTGTGCAGTTTCCTTGCAAAAGCTATTTTAAGTCACTTGTCCATTTTGTAAGGGTAAATTATATAAAAAAAAACAGATAACATAACCTCTAAATCCACTTCATTAGGAACGCATAAACTGCAACATGTGTCTGTAATACTGAAAGCAAATGAATGAGGGTAACTATCAAGCAATTCCAACTCTTTTCTCCAGACAACTCAAGAACCATGTACAAGATTTGTCTGGCTGACATACAGGCTATGGGAGAATCAACTCAGTGGCAGTGGGTTTAATCTCAGGATGCACCTCCTCGGTGTGCAAGTGCTTCCCCCACTTTTAGAGCCTGCTGGCCATGGAATTAGCCAGCTCGTAAGGCCCAAACACTCATTTCCCCGTTACTCAAAACCTGTTAACCTACTGCCAATTGAGCTGATTTGACTCATAGTAACTCTACAGGACAGAGTAGAATTGTTCCATTGAAGTTCCAAGACTATAATCTTTATGGGAGAAGACTGACACATCTTTCTCCCATGGAGCGGCTGGAGGGTTCAAAGCACTGACCTTTTGGTCAGTAGTTGCGTGTTTAACCACTGCACCATCAGAGCTCCTTAATTATTCAATATATATGGTTCATTATAAATTTCTCTCCTGGATCATGGCAATATGCTGTGAGATGGCAATGTTCATAAATGAAAAATCAGCATAAATAAATATTCATAAAACTGAAAACCTGTAAAAGTGAATGGTAAATCAAGGGTGAGTGTACAGAAAGAGTTTGGTGATTTACCTGAATACTTCAAGAATAATCCTCTCTGGTAATTTGGGTGCCACCTGCTTAAATGCTTTCTTGAAATCTTCCAAAGTTAAAAATCCACGACCTTTTGAAAAGAAAAGACAAAATATTCACTTACTTCTATTAACCCTATGAGCTGTGAATTTAGCCACCATATTTCCATGAAGCTTTATTTTAACATATTATCAGGACAAAAGCAGTAATTTATAGTTGATTTTACAAGTGAAACAATCCAAAATCATGTCACTGAAAGAGTTAAAAAGTTTTGGTCACTAGGAAAAATGCAGAAATAATGTATATCCTTAAAGAGAGGGACCTATCTTCTGCTCCCTTTCCTCCTAACTGGTAAAAATCCAGCAATTCTCAAAAATCGAATAACACTTCCCCTTCAGTGCAGTTACAGATGACCTAAAAGATCACTTCCAGCCCTAGAACTCACTGGTTCTCTGAATCCCAGGGAAACGACCAGAGAGAGATTCACCAAAATAATACTACAGGCTTCGAATTTTTGTGAATTGCCAAAATAACTTATTCTTAAAATTCATCTTTGCGTCTTATTTGGTATCAGCATTACGATATACTAGTACTTAGAGTGAAACCATAACGGCAAGCAAGACAGTGACCCTGGACTCCGTAACTTCTCTCAGCCACATACGTGATCACTGGGCCCCAGGAGTCAGAGGAGTCAGCTCTGCCATTTTCTTCTTCTTTGCATATGCTCACTCTATGAACACCACCCTCAATCTGCAGCTCCCCACAAAAGCTGTATTAAGCCACTTGGCCATTTTGCATGGATTAATCTATAAAAACTAGATAATATAATCTTTAATCTACTTTATCAGGGATGCATAAACTGCAACACAGATCAACAGCATTGGAAGCAAACGAATAAAGCGCCGTTGTTAAGTGACAAAGCATGAAGACCTCATCATGTGCTGAAGCAGAAGTCAAAGAAGGAGGCACAGGGCCTCCCGTGCTTCTGCAGGTGGCTCCAGGCCTGTGTCCATTCGCCCAGCCCTTCTGCTGTCCCTTAGGATACAGGCAAATTCTAAGTACAATTAAGTAATTGCAAATATTATTTCATCCTCGGTAAATGCTATGAGTTTAAGATCACTATGGAAGAAACAATTCCCACCGACTCCGAAAGTAACAGCTAATGAATACGGTACAAGTAGTTCCTGACTAATGACATACTCAAGGGATGACAAACCACACTCAGGATTGTCTGTTGTGTATTTTGTTTTTGTGTCTCTTATCATTTTGTACTCATAGTGACACTATGTACAAGAACACACTGGCCAGTCCCGTGCCAGCCTCATGATCCCTACTATACCTGAGCCCATCACTGCAGCCACCATGTCACTCCATCTTGTTGAGGGCAGTGTTTTCTTCTATTGAACATAGGGTCACTATGAGTCAGAGACAACTCGATGGCATATAACAACAAACAACAACAGCGTTTTATACACGTTATTATTGTCAGATGTTCACCAGCAGATGTTCAGTGTTATGATTTACTGTTCACAACACTGCTGTATAGCAGCCAATGACAATAATAATTAAAACCAAAAAGAAAAAAAATGAGGTATTCAACTTACATCAGAATCAACTCACGACAGAGTCATCAGAACAGAATCTCATTGTAAGTCAGGGACTACCTGGAAAACTGTCCTCCAGTTACAGATAATCTCTGACTTGTGATGTATCCAAGTTACGATGAACCACACTTAGGATGCTTTTTTTTTTGTACATCTGATTGTTAGTGATATATATGTATGTATTGAAATACATCTGTAAGTTTACTTGTCATGTTTCCCATCTACACAGACAAATAATGACTAGATTTATAAAGATAGTGATAATAAAAGGCAATAGTAATGAAAACTTAAAAAGAGGTACCTGACTGGTATCAGAACCAACTTATGACAGAGTTGTTGGGACAAAACCCTGTCACAAATAGAAGACTACCTGTGTATTGTATGTTCAATTTGTTGTGGTGGTTGTAGTGTGCCACAGAGTCAATTCTGACTGACGGCAACCCTATATGACAGAGTAAAACTGCCATCTTTCTCTCGTGGAGCATCCGGTGGGTTTGAAACACTCGTTTCACAGATGACGGCTTAACCACTGCACCACCAGTCCTCCTTATATTTAACTTACTGAGTAGATCTACCCATTCATAGCTCCTAGTACTCATCTTTTTACAACAAAACACTTTAAAGATACTTACAGTGCCTGTCAAATGCTGTGAAGATGTGTCTGATTTCACTCCAATACAGTTGTGTTTCCTTCTTTTTCCTTGCAACATTTAAAAAGTCCCCAAGGAATATACCTAAAAATTGGAAACGACAAATTGCCAAAGATGTTTATGTTCCTCTTTAAAGGGTGGGGGAAGGGAGAAATGGAAGACAAGTAAAAAATAGGACAAATAATCAAATTTTCTCTTTATTTTGGTGAACACTATTTCTAAAGATTGATGAAGTAGAAGAAACATTTTTGCTCATGTGAAATGGACCCAATACTAATAATCCACAGTAAAAATAAGACACTTTTGCTTTTTCAGGGGATACAGTGATGGTGACCTTGAAAAAAAATCCCACAATCTTCCCTCTAACAGACCTAACAGACAGGCTCGAAAGTACTTAGTACACAGGGCCTCATAATTTTTCCTTCCTTATGCTTCTTTGATCCCTTTTTTCCTAGTCAGATGTCATTACTGCAGGGTTTTCCAACTGGGAGATCAGGTCAAAGAAGTAGTTTCTCAAAAGTCAATACCAATTGCACACCACAGATAAAGGTGCAGAGAATATTACATAAACAATAGAACTGGCACCGTCCCCAGCCCCAGATACACCCCACCATGTGTTCAGCAGCCTCAGGCCCAGCTTCCTGAGACTTTCATAATAAAGGAGCCCAGCGTGATAATATGAGATTGGATACTGTGCTTACAACGTCTATTAAAATGAATTCTAATGTGATCTTTGTAGTAGGTTTAAAGAGTGGAGCCAAGAATTTAAACATTTTAGTAAAATGAGCCCTAAATTATATAAAAAGAGCAGTTCACTTTCAAAGTCAGGGCTTAGATTAAAAAAAAAAGAAATCTATTTTTAAAATAGCCCCATATCATACAGTAAGCACATGATGAGTTTGGAGCATGTGTAAACGTTTCCTTTTGGGAAGGGAATACTAAGCTATATTAGCTTACAATAATTCCAATAACTAAAATTGTAGAAAATTATTTTCTGAATTTTCCATGTTTTCCTTATTTGTATTTAAAGTGAGGATTTACAAGCTAAAACAATAAACCTATCTTTATGCTTTTAAACCATTTATTTACAATTCCTTAGACCTACTATGTGCTGGACACTGTGTTAAGTTCTGAAAATAGACGAGAACACACATGATTCCAGTCCCAAGGGGCCTATTAGTCTAGTGGGAGAGAGTTGTGACACAAGTGCAAATGCAGGCATGCACGTAACGACAAACTACAGCGAGTGCAATGAGGGAAAAAATAAGACGCTGTGAGAGAGGCACGGCCATCCCTCTGTACTGGAGACACTGGCCAAGGAGACAGCTCTTGGAGGAAGTAATACTTAAGCTAAGAACTGAAGGATGAGAAGATGCCAACTGGCTAAAGGATGGGAAGAGCATTCCAAGCAGTAGCAACAGCATATGCCACAGCCATGGGGTAGGAAGCAGAAGAAATGAAAGAAGGCCACCGTGGCTGGAAGGCAATGAGCAAGACAACGAGAGAAGAGACAAGGCTGGTTAAGTAGACAAGGGTCAGAATAGAATGCACAGACCCTTGTGGGCCACAGTAAATAACCTGGGTTTTATTTAAGGTGCGCCAGGAAGTCAGTGAGTCCTGGGGTGGGGCAAATGGTTAACCACTTGACTGCTAACCAAACGGTTAGTGGTTTGAACCCACCCAGAAGCTGCTCAGAAGAAAGGCCTGGTGATCTTCTTTCAAATGCTCACAGCCATTGAACGCCCTATAGAGCATAGTTCTACTCTGTACACATAGGGCCACCAGGAGTCAGAACTGACTTGATGGCAACCAACAACCACAAGCGTCAATGAATGTTTTCAATTGAGAAGTGACATAACCTAAGTAGATTTTTAAAAGATCTTTGTGGAGGCGGGGCAAGATGGCGGACTAGGCAGAAGGATTGCACAGACCCTCTTCAACAAAGAAAAG